TGGTAAAGAAAGTTGCAGTTCAGGAGATAAACAGTTAAAAAGATAATGCGATATGAGATCATTCCGTAACTCCCCAACCGGACCTCAACGGACAATGGCACCTTTTTAGTTACACCCAGCGTCACTACCCCCTCCTACTTTTGTGCCCCGGGACGCCCCCATTGCTTGGAACAAAGCGATAGAGTAAAATCTTTCCCCTGCACTGGGACAGCTCGCGGGAGAGCTCGTTGGTGATTTGCGTTTACATCATGAAGCAGAGGTTGCTGCTCCAGTCCAAACACCACTGGCCACGAGCTTTGGGCTCTGCTCTCACGGAGAATATTTATTTATATAGCATATTTTATTTTAGATCAACTAGAAACAATGTTTAATTTATAAAGTTTTATTTTGAAATGTAAGTCAATAACAATCGGTTGAAGCCACAGCCAATGGTGAAAGTCTTTGCTTGAGGAGACCCCGCCCCATTTTGGAGGTTCTGCCCACTTTTGGAGTTCACTCCCCAAAAAGTTGTGTATACGTGAACATTTTTAAAAACGCAAGGGAAAATTCAGTTTTTGTCTTCATCGTTATCGTGTAAACGTAGCCTAAGCATCACATTTGTTGAAACAATGGCTTTGCTACAGTCATTATTAGTAATTACCATTGAAATAAAGGTGTCAAATCATGCTTATAAAAGGTATTAGCAGCTGATTGTACGTACACGTCATGCCTCTAGAGTTAGCATGGAGAACATTTCTTTCTGTTAAGCATTACTCCTGGAATTTCACCAGTAAAACAACGAAGGAATGTTTTTACGGACCCACTGTTCTTTTACAAGAGTCTTGACAAGTTGTGCAAACTACTAGATTATGTAAGCATGGGGGAAAAAAATCACACATTAATGATAACATCCTCTTCCTCGTCCCTGATATCCTCCAACAGGCCGTCATCAGAGTGCCTGTTTTCTTCATCAATACCGCTACCATGTGGGTTGATGATGTACCGGTAGTCTCCACCAATAGCAAGAGCAGCTCCTGATGACACCATTAGCCAGTCCTTTTCATCTTCCTCTATACCTGCACACTGCCACGGTACCCCCCACGAGAGCTCTTCACTATTATGGGTCCCGGTCTCTGCCACCAGCCCAGAGGCCTGTTCTCCATCCTCTTCCTCCAGGTTCACATACAGCAGTGGTTCTTTTACAGGAGCTGGATTCAGCTTTGCCCACAAGAGCTCCAACTGGTCAATAAGGTGTTGAAAACTAGGACGACACTTTGGGACAGGAGACCAACAGCTATGCATGATTTCATAACTGGAAGTGAGAAAAGATGGAATAGTTTTTATATTACATATGGTGTAAAATTGGTGTAAAATTTGCTAGTAAATTTCTAAAACAATTATAAAGAAACGGCAAAAGTAAAACATATGATTTAATATGACATTTTGAAGCAGAAAAAATGAAACAGTATTTTCTTGTAAAACATACTTCAAAAATCTCCGTTGTTATTTTTACAAGCAGAATTAATATCTAAAATTAGTGTGGGTTTAAAGAGTTTTGTGACATTCATTAAATGCACTACCGTTCAAAAGTCTGCCGTCAATACGTTTTTTTTAAAGAAATTAATGCTTTTATTCAGCAACGATGCATTCAATTGATCAAAAATAGATACTTTTACATTGTTACAAAAAATATAATAAATGCTGCTCTTTTGAAATTTTTATTCATCAAAGAACCCTGAAAAAATGTATGACAGTTTCCACAAAAATTATGACATAAGAAATAATAATACATTTTTCTTGAGCATCAAATCAGTATATTAGAATGATTTCTGAAGGATCATGTGACATTGAAGACTGGAGTAAATAGTTTTTATATTACATATGGTGTAAAATTGGTGTAAAATTTGCTAGTAAATTTCTAAAACAATTATAAAGAAACGGCAAAAGTAAAACATATGATTTAATATGACATTTTGAAGCAGAAAAAATGAAACAGTATTTTCTTGTAAAACATACTTCAAAAATCTCCGTTGTTATTTTTACAAGCAGAATTAATATCTAAAATTAGTGTGGGTTTAAAGAGTTTTGTGACATTCATTAAATGCACTACCGTTCAAAAGTCTGCCGTCCATACGTTTTTTTTAAAGAAATTAATGCTTTTATTCAGCAACGATGCATTCAATTGATCAAAAATAGATACTTTTACATTGTTACAAAAAATATAATAAATGCTGCTCTTTTGAAATTTTTATTCATCAAAGAACCCTGAAAAAATGTATGACAGTTTCCACAAAAATTATGACATAAGAAATAATAATACATTTTTCTTGAGCATCAAATCAGTATATTAGAATGATTTCTGAAGGATCATGTGACATTGAAGACTGGAGTAATGATGCTGAAAATTCAGCTTTGATCACAGAAATAAATTAAAATTTATAATACACTAAAACAGAAAACAGTTATTTTTAAATTGTAATAATATTTCACAATTTTACAGTTTTTGCTTTATTTCTGTATCAAATAGATGCAGTCTTTGATCCAATAAATGCAAAAATGTTTTTTAGAGACTTTTTCTTTTAGAGACATTCTCTATATATAAATATATATGATATATAGGGATGTCCCGAGCCGATCTCAAGGATCGGGATCGGGGGCCGATCAAGCATTTTTTAAAACTGATCGGTATCGGCTCTCCTCAGTACGATCCATATTTTATATCAGCTGTCATGCCGATGTTGTGCAGTAGGAGGCGGTATGCGCCTTTAACTCTTTCCCCGCCAGCGTTTTTGAAAAAAGTTGCCAGCATTTTTTATGATTTTCACTAAAATTTCATGGCCCCCAGAATATTTTGTTTGATAAATATCTGAACATGCAATACACCAAAATAAAGAACAGAGCCTCTACTTTTAAACCATTTTATTCTAGCTTCAAGCATTCTTTTTTTTTATCAACACTTGAATGTAGTTAAGTTTTATAAAAAAAAGAAGAAGCAACATTTTGAGCAAAAAGCAGAGAAAATCACGTTTTTATCAAATACTTCATCTGAATCATATTCAGTAGGATGATCAGAGCAAAGATGCAGTAGATCTCTTCCATCGACACCCCCAAAGTTTCACAGTCCTTTGCCACTTCCTGGAGCGCCATTTCACTTGGTAACATTAGGCAGTTTTCATTTATATACTGTTTATTGTTGATGATCGCATTGTTCTCATATGCATACATACGAGATCGCTCGTTTCTGCATCTTCTTTGCATGTGTTTTTGATCAGCACATTCTAGACTCATTCAGGAGATGCACAATAGCGCCCCCGAACGTATAACAGCGAGAACACGGAAACCGAGAAAGGTATAACTGCAACCTGGAGATCTCCAAATGGGGGCGGGAACTCCAAAAGGGGGTGGGAGCTCCAAAATAGGGTGTGGTTTTCTCCCATTGACAGACAGGCACATGACACGTATGTGCATTTTTTTCCCCCAATCCAAACTCCGCCCCTTTAGCTGATTCTAAAGTTTTTATTGGTTGTGTCAATTAAAGTGTTGATTTCCTACACTATGCTACAAAAAATGCGAACCCCTAAACCTACCCCACCACCTGACCCTAACCTTAACCAGTGAAATTGACTGCACGGCGAGATTGGCGCTGAATAGCGTGGTAAAGAAAGATGCAGTTCAGGAGATAAACAGTTAATAAGATTATGCGATATGAGATTGTTTCGTAACTCCCCAACCGGACCTCACCGGACAATGGCACCTTTTTAGTTACACCCAGCGTCACTACCCCCTCCTACTTTTGTGCCCCGGGACGCCCCCATTGCTTGGAACAAAGCGATAGAGTAAAATCTTTCCCCTGCACTGGGACAGCTCGCGGGAGAGCTCGTTGGTGATTTGCGTTTACATCATGAAGCAGAGGTTCAAACTCCGGTCCGAACACCACTGGCCACGAGCTTTGGGCTCTGCTCTCACGGAGAATATTTATTTATATAGCATATTTTATTTTAGATCAACTAGAAACAATGTTTAATTTATAAAGTTTTATTTTGAAATGTAAGTCAATAACAATCGGCTGAAGCCACAGCCAATGGTGAAAGTCTTTGCGCGAGGAGAACCCACCCCATTTTGGAGGTTCTGCCCACTTTTGGAGTTCATGCCCCATTTTGGAGATCTCCGGTCTGCAGTTATACCTATTTGGGGAAACCCGGAAAATTCTGTGTTTGGCGGGGAAGCGTTTTCTCATAAATAACGGAAAATCCCGTGTTTAGCGAGGAAAGAGTTAACTTAAGTGGGTTTGCCTACCGCCATTAGAAAGAAAAGAAGACACTCAAATGTGTGTGAAAGGCGAGAAAAATTTAGGTCTGTTCTAGCTCGTCACATTTGAGCTTCCATGTTCAGTATATTTGAGGCACACTTTTGTAACAATCACTCATTTATAGTTTACTTTTAACTGCTATCTGAGACGTCGTTGCTATGGGTTGAGTCTTGATTCGGATTTGACTGACAGACTGGCAATCTGACACTGCGAGCTTCATGCTTTCTAACCTTATCTTCACTTTATGTTGCAATTACTCTGCTTATTATATGTATAAAATACAAGACGTTTCTATTAAATAGTCCTATATTCATAATTATGACCACAAGGTCCATTTACAATGTCTACCATTGTAACATGTTTACAGTACATCTGCCAATGTCTGTATACAGTGTGTGCATATATATACATAGAGTGTATCTTGTAATATATATACATAAATACATACATCATACATATATTTATTTTACTCTCTGCACAACTCTGCATACACTCTGTATACTTGAAGTGTGCACCAAACATACATTCCTATAGGAATATACAAGTATCGGATCGGATCAGATACTCAATATCAAATGACTCTGATCGGATCAGGGGCACAAAAAACCTGATTGGGACATCCCTAATATGATATATTAATTAATAAAACTTACATGTCAGCAGGACAGTCAGGAGGCTGTTTGAGTCTTTCTCCTTTGATAAGATACTCATATATTTCTGAGTTCTCCACCCCTGGATAAGGTGTTTGGCCTCTAGTCATGATCTCCCACATGGTCACACCAAATGCCCACTAAAAACAAAACAAAAAAAACATTAGTACCAGGCACAGTAAAAGCTTTACCAGATGAACAAGGGCTATATACACTAGTAAACACAGTAAAGAAACCATGAGCATTTTTTAATTCAGAAACTGTCATTTTAATATATTACATGTCTTTCTGGGATACTAGATTTTGTTTGATCATTCTGTGGTCAAATATATTTATATTATAACCACTAAATTGTATAACCAACCGTTGTGAGAATAGCAATGAAATAGTAAGTCTTCTGCTATTTTAAGAAGAATGTTTTTAAAATGTCTAAAACTATGAAATACTAACAACTAATATTAAAGAAATAACGTATACAGACAAACAGTGTTCATTACCACATCACTCTGTGTTGTGTAGACATTATCTGCCAGGCTTTCCAAAGCGATCCACTTTACTGGCAACTTAGAGACAGATCCTTGTCTATAGTAGTCGCCGCTGTAAATTTTCTTTGAGAGACCAAAATCTGCTACACACACGCTCATGTTTTCATTGAGCCTAAAATTGAGGATGCAGATGACAAGAAATATTACACTTGAGCTAATCAAGAGAGTTTGTGGTTAATTAGCAATATAAACTATTTGGATAGTTTACATGCACTTTAAATATGATAAAAAATGTGTCCCTGTTACATGCACATCAAATAACTCACATGCAGTTGCGAGCAGCCAAATCCCGATGGATGATGTTTTTGCTGCTCAGATACTCCATCCCTCGAGCAATATCCAGCATAAACTGGATAAGAATTTGCTGAGAGACAGTCTACACAAACAAGAGACAACTTCAGACATCTACAGTAGCTGTGTGTTTCAGGAAGTGACAGGTAATAAACATACAAAAGGTTCATTTCCGAGGCGTGACATGAGAAGAAATGTGTGGAGATCTCCATGTTTCATGAAGGGCAGGATCACCATAGGAATAGGTAGCCTCTGCTGGGCTCGCCTGTGCAGACTCACACCTGCGGGAGTGAAATCACAACCATATTTGTTCCATATGCTAAAGCAAACAGATTGTAACCCAAAGGTCAAGCAGCAAAGGAAAAGTGTGCCCACTAACCAATGAGCTCAATGACATTGGGATGATGGAAGTCTTTCATATAGGCAGCTTCTTTCAGACATTGCTCAATGTCACTGGATGAGTTAATGTCAGCTGTAAGAGCACAGAGAGAGATGCATCAACGCACAGAAACAATGACAACACCAATATCATGGGCCATAGACATCCAACTGCTCATTAAACCAATAATTTTAGAAGTACACTTACTTTTTAGGACTTTCACAGCAACCTTCTGTCCAGAGTTATTTTCTGATTTGAGAAAAGCTTCTCTCACAGAGCCAAACTCGCCTAGAAAACAAACCCCAGATGCTATTAAAATTGTGTGTGTATGTATATGTGTGAGAATATATATGAAGTATTTTGACAGCAATGAACATAATTAAAGTAATGTTTTTCTTATATTGCTCAGAAATAAAGTGAAATATTATTGCAATTTCAAATAACTATTTTCTATTTGAATACATTTTAAAATGTAATTTATTCCTGTAATTACTCCATTCTTCAGTGTCACATGATCCTTCAGTAATTGTTCTAATATGCTGATTTGCTGCTCAATAAATATTTATTATTATCAATGTCAAAACCAGTTGTGCTGCTTTATATTTTTGTGAAAACGGATTGACTAGCATTGAAAAGTCAATACGATTTTTTTTTTAAAGAAATTAATACTTTTATTTAGCAAGGTTGCATTAAATTGATCAAAAGTGACAGTAAGGACATTTATAATATTACAAAAGATCCATTCAGTTCTTTTGAACTTTCCATTTATCAAAAAACACTGAAAACAAAAGTATCAGTGCTTCCACAAAACTATTAAACAGCAAAAATTGTTTTCAACACTGAATCATCATTAATAATTAATCAAATAAACATCCAAGTCATTAATGCACCTTTTCCAAGCATGCTTCCCAGAGTTAATAGCCTTTCAGAGATGAGAACATCCTGTAACTTGGCCTTCAAATCACTGTTGATTCCTAGACTGTCCACTAGAGGGAAACAGAGTCGAAATTCATATTTCCTGTAAAAACATGTACTCTTGGATGTCAATGATGGTGCAGTCATGCGTGCCAGCAACGTGTTCACTTACATGTGGATTCAGGGGGCTCAGGGAACCGCCTGTTGAAGGACCTGGCAGCTGTAAAGGAAACTGGTACATCTGTTCCTGAAGCTGCAAATGCAGACCTGCAAACAAACCAAAACGTAAAAAATAACCCATATTACTTTTTTAAATAACAATTTCAAAACGCATTTTAACCAAACTGCCTAAAAAGGTAAAACACACAAACACATGATGATTAGAAGTGAGAAAATGGATTTAAAATTCCTGGACTGCAACTTAGATAGATTTTTTAAATCAAGTTTTTAATCATGTTGAGCATAGCTGATCCAAACTGTAAAAGGACAGATCACAGTTTACCAGATTTCAGTCCTATTCCAGACAAAATGTGTAGTTACTACATTTTGAGCAGCACATTCAGTAAAAACATACCCAAACTGGGTCTCTTTGCCTCTGTTGCGTACCAGTACAATCAACAGGAGTCCCACCATGGTGGCCACAAGAAGGCTGAAAAGCAGCCCCACCCACATATGGCCCCTCAGGGTCTGAGCCTGCACGGCTGCAACGAGACAACAAGAGCTTTAAACACCACTTCTGCTCAAAAGTGCCTGAAGCCACGCCATTCCTGCATAATGAGCCACACAAAGAAGAAAATCTTTCAAGAGTGCTGCATTATGTGAACATGCGGTCACAAAAAAGCTGCAGTGACTGCAGAAATCCCAATTTCAAAAGGCAGGAGAGCAGACAATGAGAGTGGACAGACCTGATACGGGCATCACAAGAACAGGCTGACTCCACGGGCCACATCCTGCCATTGTGCACGCTGCAACCTGGAAGGTGGCGTTAAAGAATCGCCCAGCACCTGAGAGACGGGCAACGTTGTCTTTAAACAGTAAGGGATCCTATAAAGACAAAAAATCAAATTGTGCATAAAAGTGAAGGGTGGATGGCTCTTAAATGTCACAACAGAGGAGAACCTCTTAACTTTAGACATTCAAACCTGGTGTGATATTACATATCAAATAAACTAATCAAATTTGACCCATTACCAATAACAAGATAAGGTAATTCTTTATATGATCAGGCGTGTTTAATTAATTTATATAGAGCTTTACACAATACAGATTGTTTAAAAGCAGCTTCACAGTAACAAATAGGAAAATACCAGTATTAATGCTGCAAAATTCATAAATTATGAAATGACTTCAATTTCAGCTTTAAAGCAGCTCTAAAGAAGACAATAGTGTCATTATTCAGTTCAATTTGGAATCAATGTTGATTTAGTTCAGTTCAATAACACTGTCAATGTTGCAAAGTTTATCAATTGCGAAATTAATCATTCATTTTAGCTATAAAGCAACTCTACAAGAAGACAATAATGTCATTATCCAGCTTAAATTTTGAATCAATTCAGTTCAATAGCAGAGTCAGTGTAGCAGAATTTCCTTTATAAGTATGTCTTCCTTTACAATGACGTACCTGACTCTCTCCTCCCTGGTTCCACTGCACTTTATATGCCAGCAACCTTCCACGTAGCTCCTCCTGTTCCAGTGCCGCCCAGGACAGAGTGAGCTGCTGCTCGCTGAGTTCAAAGGTAAAGTTCTTTGGAGCTGCTGATGGTGCTGTGTAAGAAAGTTATGAAAACAGTAAAAAAAGGGAGAGTGCAAAGGGTCAGTTACCACTGTACAGACAACAGTATGAGTCAAATGCCTCTGCATTACAATAAATAAGTCACAGCCAGGCCCAGATGGAATATTTTCACATTTTCTCCACTAATTTTTTATTTTTTTGGTGGCCAATGGAATCCGTGTAATGGATTTTAAATGGATAGAAGAGAGTACTACACCCTTATTTATAGTGGAAAATAATGGGGGGAAAATCAGCAGTAATCAAATCCATTTAAACAGTTACAATGACTATTTTGGCCAGTAGGTGGCAGCATATTGGACGCTGTATGTGGCAGCATTGCATTGAAATGGATTGGGGACACGCACAATGGTGCATTGTACCACTCAGCCTGGAATCTACTGGATTGCAGCCAGTGCTAGCAGTTTACAAACATGCAAACAGGGTCAACTTCAGAAACCCCTTCTGCTCCTCAAACCCATCCACCAGCTCCTCCCCTTCCAAACCCCCTCACCCCAGGCATCTGGCCAGAACCAGCTCTCTGGGCCATTTGTTTACTTCCAACCCACCAAAACGTTGGTCAGACCAGCTAACGGTTTTATTCCCGATGGAATGTTAAAAATGTTAGTCACACAGGACTGTTCTACCACAGCTTATAATTAAATATGTCAGAGTCAACTAGCTCTCATTGATCCAAACCTAATAATTAAGTGATGTATGCAGCAAACCATGTTGTAGAGAACTATAAGCTTCCTTCGAGATGGATCTGAATTCTACAAACGCAATTTCCTTCCTTCCTTCCTCTCTTAGTACCTCAACACACTTCATGCAGACACAAAGTGTAGGGACGACCAGATCAAATTTCACATGAAAATCAAAAGAAATTATATTGTGCAAAAGGAAAAATTCAGTAATTTAGCAATAAATTATAATTTTTTTTAATTAAAAATATTTTTAATTGTCATATCACATATCGAATAAGTCCTAAAAATAAGTCTTATTTTATATATATGTATATGGGGGGTCATTTTGTTAACTAATACTAAAACTAAAACCATGAAAATATTCAAAATTCATTAACTGCAATAAAATAAGTTTAAGTTTTTTTATATTTCATTTTATTTCATTTGCTAGTTGCCAGGGCATTTATCATTTTCATTTAGTTTAAATTGAAGTACTAAAATAACTAAAACTAAAACATAATAAACATAAAAAACTTTATTGACATAAAAAAAACTAATAAAAACACAACAAATTTACTAAAACCTTAAAAGAGATTAAAATGAAAACAGAAAATATACAAATAAAATCGAATTCAAACTATTAACAAATAACATAAAAACTATCATAGAAAATGTCAATATGATTTTCAAACCTAAACCATTCTGACCAATGAATCTGAGTTTTCCAACATAGTCTACACACATTTCGGCGGGACTTCAAATTGTTTACTTATAGTCTGCATATTAAGCTGGGATGGGGTATTTTAAAATCAAGAAAGTTACACAAGTCACCAAAACTCCTTTTATAGACATTGCACTCATAAAGAGCTATTTATACCCAATGAAATATAAAAAAATAATAATAATTTTTAAACTACAGAAGATCTGATCAACTTTGTCCACGGGAACCTCACCATTCTGTAACTCAAACAGCAGAGCATTGAACTAGCTATGCCAAGGTCATGGGTTCGATTCTCAGGGAATGCAAGAGCTGATAAAATGTTACTTTGAATACAATACAAGCTGCTTTGGATAAAAGTGTCTGCCAAATGCATGAATGTAAGTCTGTAATTTAATTTCAACAGCAAAGCCATTTATGTTAATTTGACTCCGAACACATTAGAAAGTAACACCGTGCATGCATCATGTCATTACCTAATCTAATGTTTCACATACCTGCCTCTGGAGTGTGAAAGCCCACCCAGGGAGAGAAGGGGGAAGAGCCCACCTCATTATCACACCGGATTCTCACACTGTAATTTGAGTAACTGCTGAGTCCCTCAAACACATGCTGGAAGGGAGGAACTATCACATCCACATCAGGAAGTTTTACCTTCTTTCCAGGTCCCTTTGACACCTACAAATGGATCACAGACAGATATTTCTCATCCCATTATGACACATAATCAAAATGTAACTCTAAAAAAAAATTCATTTTTGTTTAAGCATATGGATTTGAATCCTGGGGATTCTGGAAGAAATTACATTTGCTAACTATTTACTATATTTCTGCCACTGAATATATATATCTCATATTTCTAACTTTTTCCCCTCACAATTGTGAGGTTTTTTTACACTAAAATGTTTTCTCAAGAGAACAGTGAGATGATTTGTTTTTACAGATGTCTCGCTCTACTCCAGATGTAATGAGGGTCTATTTTATGGGTCGCTAACACAATCTAAGCGGGGAAAAAAGTTTACCGTGTTATCCGAGAACCAAACACCACATTGTTAAAAGAAGGGTTGACAATGGAAGACATTGAGGATGGGTGCTTTAAAAAGGACAAAAGCACCTTAAAAGTAGTGCCTAACATCTGCTATGAGTTACACAGGAGGAAAGTCATACAGGTTTTTGAATAAAAATAAACGATTTTCATTTTGGAGTGGACCAAGACTGTACAGCAATAGGACAAGCATGAGGACATTAACAGAAAAAGACATGCAATCATCTCTAAAACTATAGTAACTGGTATACTCTACCTGTATAGTGCAGGTGGAAAGCTGTGAGTGCCCAGTGAAACCTGGACTCCATGTTAAGGTTATATTAAGATCAGACACATGATGTACCTTAACATCCTGGGGGTAATCAGGGCAGACTGCACATAAAAATCGCATGTAAAGAAAAGCATTATAATAACATATATTTGTCTTGTCTCCGCTGGGAGCCTTTTGTGGTTTTATTTGTATGGTTAACCATCTAATACAGTTGTTAAAATGCATGAAGGATTACTGCCAAAATAAAGACCAACAACTAATTTTGCATTCTGTATTCAATTACATTGAATTGCAGCAATAAAAGTTATGTAAGCTGGAAGAGAAAATTACTGCGGTATGTCTCACCTTTAATGTGCACTGTGCCTGTACGTGACACGGAGATACCTCGAGCATTCTTAGCCTCACAGTAAAATACTTTTTAATTTACAAGAGAATATCTGAGTTACTTTTTTCAAATAAGTAACGCAAGTTACTTTTTTTCCAATTTATTGCTCTCCTGCCCCCATGTTGAGAGAAATCACAAGATGTTACTGTAGTTCTAAAATAAATATGAATATGCATTAATTCATCTCACTCACACAAAAAAAACAACAACAACACAGATTTAGTGTTCCTCAAAATGAATAAAAATAATGTAACTGTGTTGAAGTTTCTTCTTCTGCATTCTACTGTACGGACATAAATTTACTTTCCCTTCAGCCTGAGACTTATTCATTTCACTTTTGGTGTAAAAAAAGGCTTTTATATTTGCCAAAAATAGAACTTTTTTATTTTAAAATCAAACAAGCAAGCCCTGTCCAGATTTAAAAAGTAACACAAAAGTAATGTAACGCATTACTTTCCATAAAAAGTAACTAAGTAACGTAATTAGTTACTTTTTTTATGGAGTAACGCAATATTGTAATGCATTACTTTTAAAAATAACTTTCCCCAACACTGATCATGGGGTACTGGTATCTTTATCTAATAAGCTTGCAAAAATGCATATTAAATGGGTCACATTTCACCCCAAAATCAAAATGGGATCAGCTGTCTCTATAACATGTATGGCATTAGCTGGACTAACCTAAAAAAAATACAGTGTTAGTCTGATTTGAGCAAATTGTCTGAACATACAGTATGTTGACATTTATGAATTGGCAATTGCATTTATGATGCGATTGTAATGTAAGCTTGCTAAACACTTTTGAAGATTTTAGGGCTTGCATGACTAGAAAGGCTGCTTGTTGGCTGATGAGTTGACTTGCTTCAAAAGGATTTTTGGGCCCAGTACCCATACTTGCGGTCTTAGCCACTTGAGAGTGTGTGTACACGACAGGAATGAATGCATCGAACTGTTCCAGATCTGATAAATGCCAAAGATCAGTGCCCTTTAATGCCCACTAATTCCACACTATCTCTAATACCGCTTTACAGCAGTATTTGAGACTAAGTGTATTCCATTAATCATTATGTTCAGGAACATGTGTTCCTAAGATTGTGAAATTTCGAGGGAAACTTTCTAGTGTAAGTTAAATGAATTAGACTTTACATAAAATTTGGTAATAAAATGTGAAGTGATGGACATTTTATTGATGAGTCTGCCTTTTGTGTTGTAAATTGCATCATGTGTTACATTTGGACTACTAAATAGAGTCGCACAGACTAATCGACTTTAATGCTCTGCTTGATGTCAACTAGTCCACATTTAAGGCCTGTTCACACCAAGGACGATAACTATAACAATAACTATATTAGCGTCCACACCAGCGGATGATATCATCTGTTTATTCTAAGCATAAACTTGTCTGCCGCTTTAAATTCTTGAGCCTGTTATGGCAGGATTGATTCTGATTTCTTGGTGTCAATGTTTTTATCGTTCATTTGCTGGAAAAAAAATCATTCTGAAAGTGATTCCAACGATATAATTTCTCTGCGCCTTTATCGTTAAAGCTGTGGTGTGGACTCTGCTTTTCTTTAATATTGAGAACGATTTTTAGAACTATATCTTTATTGTTATCTTTATAGTTATCGTCCTTGGTGTGAACAGGCCTTTACGCTCCATTTCCAAACAGTTAAAATGACAAATAAATGCATGCTCTGAAAGCATTCCACAAGACGTGTGATTATACCATCTGGATGTTCGAAATTGAAATGTATTGTCAACACTGTTCTGTGATTTCTCAATAAAATAGCTTAGAAACTGAAAAGTTCTAGCATATATTTCTTAGTAACTAAAACCCACAGCTTCACTATTAGTAGAGAGACGCTGCCAGGAATTAATTCACACACGCAATCGCTCTCTCACTAATGCATTCATATGAATGTAATCTTTACTGTGCTACTTTATCCAAAAATAAACCATGGTGTTATTCTAGTATAAGTGTAACCATGGTTTTTGGTGTATTGATTGCCATTTGTATAACCACAGTTTTACTACAAATACCATGGTTAAACTATGGTTAGTGTAGCAAAACCAAGGTTCATTTGTGGTTACCATGGTTTAACTATAGTAAGCATGGTTTTTTGGTTTTATTTGTAGTAAAACCATGGTTCATTTTCATAAGGGATCTGTATCTGATTTAGAACGAGAAGAAATCTGTGAGAAACATAACGACCCAAAGACAAAAGAACTGATAAAAATTAGCTGTTATAGGAGCAATAGCCATGTGGGCAGTACTGTGTCATATGCCATAGCAGTGCACAAAATGTTCGAGTCTCAGCTCAAGTTTCAGGCTTATTTGTTCATTAATGGCGTCATCAGCAACTAGTAGACGTCGACTTAAAAAAAAAAATCTTAAGTCGTCCAACCCCTACTACTGAACACACATTTTAAAAATATTTTATAGTACAAAATATTTGTAAAAAAATGTGTAAATAAGCCTCTGTAAAAACATTCTTTGCATTTTTACAACACATGTAGTAAGTGTGTCCAATCTGGTAAAAAAAAAAAAGTTCTACACATACTTGCAGTCTTCACACCCACTTGAAAATTTGGGGCAAATAAGACGACAAGTGGTCAAGAGCAAAGACCGCAAATGTGTGTATTGGGACAGACCCTTGGTGTGTCTCACCTTTAACAAAGAGAACTAAGGGGGAGGGCATGAAAGCACCCTTCTGTTTGCCTCCCAGCCACCACAGCACCTCCACAGGTTCTGGAGGACCTGATGCAGCACACGTCAGGTTGAACGGCTCCCCTGCAAATGCAGCCACATCCTCCGGTTCCACCACAAAATGAGGCACACCTAAAATACGATCACGAGGCGGCAATTATGTAGTGTTTGCACTAAATCAACAAGATATAATTTGAGAATTCGATCATTCGATGGATTCTGAAGCAGCAACTGACATACCTTCTACTGTAATCCAAGCAGGCTCTGAGGAAATGATCCTTCCATAATATTCAACCTCACACCAATACTTCCCGGCATCTTGTTGCTGCACGGATTTAACACTAAAAATAAAGAAACACTCAGAACAGACACTCTTGAAATAAAGGGTCAAATAAACCTCAAATGACATTTGTGTCATTTACATGCCCTTATGTCGATGTAAACCAAAATAACATTTACCGACCAATTGTGACTTGAGCACAAGTGCATAAAACATTTGCAACATTCACACTGTTACCAAACTAAATCGAATCAACACTAAATTGAATCAAAACTAAATTGAACTGAATAATGACACTATTGTCCTTGTTGAGCTGCTTTACAACTGAAATTGTATTTGTTTCATAAATAAAGAACTCTGCTATATATATATATATATATATATATATATATATATATATTTACTTTTGCCATTTTTGCCTTTTGTTAGGATCAGATTTGCCAAGTCTGCGTATTATACGCGACTTTGGGCTTCTTTTTTTGTAAAGTTGCGTTAAAAAAATCCCTGGTCGCTTTTTTTTTGGGCTTAATTTATAAAATATGGTTGCTTGTTAGGGAAATCTGACAAGCAACTTCGTTTCTTTATTTATGTTCGCTGTATTCTCCAATGCATTGATTGACACACTGTCTGCTCACAGTTAATAGTCAACCAGTGCAATAATATAAGTGCTGCACCATAATTTGCCAAATGTTCCACTCCTTCTCCCCCTAATTGGAGAAAATCACATTCAAAAAGAAGGCGCGTGACACTGTAATCCAAGCGATGATAGAAGTAGAGGAGTGGGATGACTTTCTTTTAGCCTAATTTTTAATTTTTACAATGCTTTTGTAATGTATTAATTATCACGTGCTGTAATAAAAAACAAGTAGTCCTATACTAATACTAAGATATACATTTGGTTCGAATAGCCTATATTTTAGTAGGCTATAAATATGTGGCTATGTCACAGCTCCCCTTTGAAGCTGTGTTTTTCTCTTTTTCCATCTCTCCAATCCTATTCTGCTCACAGGTGATTGGAGATGAGTTTTGTTCCCACTTAGTTGCAGTTTGCTGATTTTTGTAAAATAACTTCTGTTTTTGCTTTTCAGATAAAAGAGTGGTTTCAGTTTAATATGTTGCAGGCTCAATATTGGTAATACATAATTGATAATAATAAATCATCAAAAAAATATTAGGCTTGTTTTGGGCTTGTTTTTACAGCTGCGGTTGCTTATTTATCTTGCGAGAGTTGGCAACAGTGGTTAGGATAGGACAGTATTGTCAAAGTGGGAGAGAGAGGGGGTACAGGATCGGGAAAGGTCTAGATCTCGTGACACCCAAAGTGCAACGACACTACTGTATATAGAACTCTACATTATTAACACTGTTATTTTCTTGTTTATTGTACTGAAGCTGCTTTGATACAATCTGTACTGTATAAAGTGCTATATAAATAAACGTGACTTGGGTTGATAGTGACTTAGAAAAGTAGCAAATGCCACAACTTTGTCTAATAATGATCATGAATAATGCCACATCCATCTCAAAGTTTTACAACTAGACAGACAGTCAGTCTAAGAGTGCTGAGATTTATGTAGACAAAGGTCAGTTGCGCAAACGACGGCATAACTTGCATTCACATAAAAGAAACACATGAAGTATACATTTGTTTACAGCTATGACACCCACCACGGGAAACTAGATATTTATAGGTTATGCTGTCAGTGTGGCGTTCAGAAAGAAAACGCGACTTCTGTAATTCACTAAGACAGTTTCTCTCTTCACCGTTTGTTATCTTCTTTAGCCTAATATTACAGCAGACAACACTTTCAACAGCAAATTTTGTTTCGTCTAAGACTGGACTAAATCAGTATCTAGGAAACGGGAAACTGGACTGCGTCACACCATGTGCAAGGGATTATCAGCCCTGACAGCGTTCAGCAAAGCAAGCTCATGTTACTAATGTCCATCTGCATTACTCCTTGTCTTCTGCCTACATTCCAATCAGAAGGGTTTACATTTACCTGCCTGCAAAGATATTCGATGGAAAGTTCAAAATGATCTTGCTATAGCGTAACACATTGTTTGTGAGCATTATTTTGATTTATATGGTCTATCTGTATTTATTTAACGTGGTCTTCATGTGGCATTTCTTGTAGTTTTAAAAGATCACTGTTCTACCATTTAAAGTTTGGGGTTAATAAGATTTGTTTAAATGTCTTTTATGGATGCATTTATTTGTATACAGTAAAACAACTCAATTCAAGTTTATTTGAATAGAGCTTTTCACGATACAAATCGTTGCAAAGCAACTTTACAGAAAATTTAGTTTCTACAATATATTTAGTAATATAGTGCAACAGCAATATAGTGAAATATTATTACAATTTAAAATAATTGTTTTCTATTTTAATATATTTGGAAATGTAATTCATTTCCGTGATGCAAAAGCTAAATGTATCTTAATGCAAAAGATAACTTCAGCATCATTACTTCAGTCTTCAGTGTCACATGATCCTTCAGACATCATTCTAATATGCTGATTTTGGTGCTCAATGGTAAAAACACAGTTGTGCTGCATACAGTTTTTGTGGAAACCATTATACATTTTTAAAAAGTTGAAGGAACAGCATTAATTTTAAGTAGAAATCTTATCAATTTTAAATGTCTTTACTGTCACTTTTTGATCTTGATTGCTGAATAAACGTATTAAAGGGGTCATATGATGCTATTTTAAAGATCATTATTTTGTGCATTTGGTGTAACAGAATATGTTACACCAAAAAACACATTATTTTTCAAATACTGTACATTATTGCAGTTCCTCTATGCCCCGCCTCTCCCAAACATGTCGTTTTCTACAAGCACAGTCTGCTCTGATTGGCCAACTGACCCAGTGCATTGTGATTGACCGAACACCACAAGCACGCGGAAAATGTAGCGCCCCTTTCCATAATTGCGAGCTTCAGCTTTCAACATAAATGTAAAGACGGTACATAATGTCCTTAGTTTTACCATCAGTTCAAACCCGAAAGGGGAACAGAGTCACGTGACAGCCACAGTGATGATGCTCGTATGTATTTGCAGTACACAAGCTGCGATTAAGAAAGTTGATTCCACTGTGATGTGACCCTGTCTCTCTCTCAAGCACACACACACGACGCAATACTCTACACGGCGCAAAACTCCGCATTTGAACAGTCATTAGCAAATACTTAAACTATTAAGAAAACATACTTACAGTAGCTGATTCAATACAAGCACCAGATTGTCATAGCAAAGTCGGAATTGACCCATTTTTTTGTAGGCTACTCTCTTAGGTTCACAAAACTGTCGTTCATAAAATGCGTTGCACAAATTCGAACATCTGGGTTGTGCTGTTCTGTTGTAAATAAATATTAACCAATGATTCCTCATTGCATCTACTTTGTGGCTGACTCTTAACTTTTATAAAGAATATCTCTTTGGATTTGAGACTTTAGTCTTTGCAACTTTACAGATCTTCTTTATGCACCAAGAGCTTGTAACACTCCAAAGAGAAAGGAAAAATTGAAATTGCGTCATATGACTCCTTTAAAAAAATCTTACTGACCCTACACTTTTAAATGGTAGTGTATCATAAACTATCCTGACAAACTGAACCCTGAGCTGGACATATAGGAATTGAAAAACAAGAGCCTGGCAGAGTATCCAGACAGACTGTTTGTTCACAAATACATAATATACTCAATCTACATAACCAATGCACACAAGAGTTACTCCATAAGGCAAATGAAGCATTTTCATATTGTGCTCAAGAACTAACTTACAAAAGATTGAAAAATAATCCCGTATAACTTTGAAGGTCAAAGTTAATTGCTACAGTATCAAGCATCTGGACAAAAAAGTCCTTGCTAAAATGTTTTCATCATTCTTGGTGCCTTTTACCATACAGACGCCCACACAGTGATAATACAAAAAATGATACAGATACAGACACAGGGTCGTGATCTCAAGGCCACAGTCTCATGACAACTGGACAGACTCCCTTTTAGGCAAAAAGTGTAAAAGACAAAGATTTAGTTTGAGAAACAGTAGTAATAGTGGCGCTTGTCTAAGAAAACAACCTTGACTGTCAAAACCGAGATTTGACAAATCATATGACAATATCTTCTAATCAGTTTCAACATCCCCTTCATACAGTCTGATGTCTCAGTTCTTGCCTGAAAACAGTTTCAACCAGTTACGTTCCATTTCTGATCACTGAAAAACATCTATGCTGAAGAACATCCAGGATTTCCAGTTCCAGGTTCATATTTTCCTACCTGTAAAAGGTCTCCCAGTGATGTGCATCTAGTGTGATGTACATCTGATCACTGCTGTAGATCTTCTCTCCATCCTTCATCCAGATGATCTCTGGCTCACTCAAACCCTCAAAGGCACAACCCAGACGGGCCATGTTACCCTGAGTCACCGTTTGGTTGGAAGGGTTTTTGGTGAACCGTAGCCCTGGAGGAAACGCAGTGTGACATGTTTCTAAAGCAAACTTACAACCAAAGTAATATCAAGACATTTGGACATACCTGATATGCTGATCATTTCATGATCAAAATGTTATATTCCTTGTAAACTGTGTAATACATATGAATTTCATTACATAATTAAACTCTCTATTTATCATCTATTTTATCTATCTATATCTATTACATAGTTCACCCAAAAGACAGCAATATTATGGATAGACCGGAATTGTATCCGGAAGCAATGGTTTCGAGTTAAAAACACCTTAATGATGGATTTGTTCATTACAAATACACAGCTTTTTCGCTTCACAAAACGTTAACTGGTGGATTATTGTGATGTTTTTATCAGCTGTTTGGACTCTCATTCTGACGGCACCCATTCACTGAGCAAGTTATGTCATTCTAATTTTCTGCAAATCTGTTCTGATGAAGAAACAAACTCATTGGCTTTCTTGGTGGCTTCCTGCCTTTAAATGTCAAGTAAATCACAAAAAAAGACATAGAATAGCAGAGCAAGACATGTGCAAACGTAATCTATGCCTTAAAAATTTGGAAAGAAGCTTCATATTTCCTTCAAGAGGCTTTTGTGCCCTTTTCTATTTTGTTGGGACCATTTCTGGCATCTCTGTCAGTGTGCACGTTCTGACTGTGAACAGCAGTCTTCATGCATGCTGCAGATATCTGAAAGATCTCCACTGTGACAACACCACAGCTGGCCAAAACATCTGCATCAAAGATCACATTCTTCCCAGGAAACTACAGTGACCTGATATAACTCTACATCTATCTATCTATCTATCTATCACAAATGACACTGATTCAATCAGCTGTGACAGAATAGAGGCTCTAAATAGCCGTTTAAGCAAAATTATTTTAATAACACTAGAAATGTTTATTTGGTTAAATAATGATACATAACAAAAGTGTGCCTCTAATTTAAACACAAAAGTCTCTTTTTGAAACACGTTTTCAAATGCCTTCACCACAATACAATGGTTAAAATATTAAAACAATATTTTATGTACTTATGTATGCATGTATGAATGTACGTTTAAAAAAAAAAAAAAAAAAAAATCAAACTCGACCACAGTAACAAAAAAACAACACAAGATATGCTGAATTGGTTTAAATTCGTCCAGGCTCCATTCGTTTTTAATCTGTAATGACATCCAGTCAATCCTTAGCATTTCATTCAAAATGAGAAATTATTATGTGAAAGGTTATAAAAGAGGGTTATAAGAAATGTCTGCTTGTGTTCATAATAAATGTCCCGTATATTTACACTTACACCGATGTTTATCGTGAAACACAGCATCCACATCAGCACTGATGAGTTTAAAGAAACACTGCGTTCACAAACTCTGATTATTAAAACAAACTTACCATGAATTCCCTCATTGAAGTGTAGTAAAAAGAGCAGGATACAAAGAGAAACCCCCATTATAACATCTTCTGTTAAAGAGCTGAGTTATCTCCTTCACCTCAGGAAATAAAGTTTGAACAGCAGTGATTAATGAATTAACTTGGTGTTGGTAAATCCCATTGTATTCATAGACTTCACCGGAGTTTCAACTTCAAAATCACCCTCTTGCATTTATTTAATCAAGTTTCCGTGATTAAACCGACATTGAAGTGTAGTAAAAAGAGCAGGATACAAAGAGAAACCCCCATTATAACATCTTCTGTTAAAGAGCTGAGTTATCTCCTTCACCTCAGGAAATAAAGTTTGAACAGCAGTGATTAATGAATTAACTTGGTGTTGGTAAATTCCATTGTATTCATAGACTTCACCGGAGTTTCAACTTCAAAATCACCCTCTTGCATTTATTTAATCAAGTTTCCGTGATTAAACCGATAAAAGTGGCATTTTGCTCATTGTTTTGATAAGTCCAATACGAGCTCGTGAGAGCGCGGTGATCATCGTTCAAGTCGAGCAGCTCGATTTCGACAAACACTGTAGGAAACATCTGAGTCTGAGAGGCGTGAATAAGTGTGTCACGTGACGCAACTACACTTCACACCACCACAAACCTCAGAAAGTCATTTACAAACGTTTTGAAGCTAAAAAGTTTTTTTTTTTTAAATGTATGTTATATTATAAAGACAGCATGCTTTTGCCAAATTAAATAATTGGCTTTTATTCCGTTTTTTATTATATAATTGTATATATTATAGTAAAGGCAACACAAATAAATATTTCAATATATTTAAAAAATATAATAATAATATTAAAATAATAGATTCTCATTTACACAATTATGCAAGAGTTTTCAAACTTTTGAAGCTAAATGCATATTTTCATATATATTATATTACAAAAATGCTTTTGCCAAATTAAATAATGAGCTTTTATACTGGCTCTTTTTATATTGTTTTATTATTTCATATTGTAGTAATGGCTAAATAAATAAATAAATGGTCCATTATATTTTACAAATAAAAAAATAAATAAAATGTAAATATAAAACCTAAATAAAAAAAAATTATAAATGTGAAGAGAGACATTTTTAATTCAAAATGATTTGCATTACTTTTTTCTCCAATGAACAGTGTAACAATGTAACAATCCTGTCCGACATGCGTGTACAGTGGTGGTTGATTATGGTCAACTGACATGGAAATCATTTTGTCTGGATCTATTAAGTCATTCTATATTCTGCTGATTTGAAAGAAAAAAAAGAGAAGAGATTATGGCTGAAGAGTAATATTAATTCCAGAATAAATTTAACTTAAATAACAAAACAAAAACAAACAGCCAGTCATTCTGGATTATTTCACTTGATTGTTATTTTGCAAATAAAAATAAAATAAAAAGTAAATTATAAAACACAAAGAAAGTGTATATATATATATATATATTTTTTTTTTTAAACTAGGGAAAAAATGTCAAAGTACTTTAACAGAGAATAATGCCTTACAGTCTCTTGCTTTTACATACTTTTTCTACATGTTTAATGTCTTATTTATTAATTCACTTATTTACATTTTCAGTTTTTGTTTATTCGTTCATTTTTCATTCAGCCATTCCTCTTATGACCTGCAAACCCCCTTGCATGCACCTTAAAACCGGACTGAACCCCTTATCTATTGCTATATTCTTAGTAAGTTCCCTCTCAAGGTGCACTGGGTCAGTACGCTGAGCGGCCTCTAGTGGTCAAACGCAGCACTGTCTGTCGTTCTCCCGGTGGGCCGGAGACGTGAAGCGTGACTCCGCGCACTGTAATAGGAAGTTCCCCTCCAA